CTTCACAAATCATTTTAGGTTGTCAAGCCAGATCCATGTTGTAAAGGTAACGTGGCATTAAGAAGTAAATCAATAATAATATGGATAATATTTTTTATTTTTTTTTTTACATTTCAAGGCTATGTAGTAACATGGGAACAGCACATAAGAAATTTAACATTCAGCATTTTAAAAGGTGTGAATTTCTTCCAATAATACAACCACAGGATTCTTTTCTCCTTATATTTTTTTTTCCCATGGCAGTATCTCCTTGTGATTAATCTTAGTAACTCTGAGTTTCTGACTAGACAGAGCCTTTATGCTGCTTGCTACAAATACCACTTCAGTTGCAAAGCTCTGGCGTAAAGCCTTTGGCCATGGCAATTGAATTTGCTGGAAGAATACAGCATAAGTCAAAAAGTAGAGTAAGAACACTCCTATCAGCATTGTATAGGAGCTTTTTGTGTCGTTTATATGTCCTCAGCACTCCTTTCAGTGAAGACAACCTCAAGCATAACTGGCCTCTAATGACTATGGCTAAAGCTGTATGCAGAGAATGTTAAAAAAGCAGGCAAGGTTCAGCTGCTGTTTCAGGATGGTATAAAAGGATGAATTTTCCTTCTACAACAGGGATCCAGCTGCTGAGGCTGTCAGGTTTCTTCCTTCAGGGGGTTTTGTTTTGCAGTAGCTTTGATCTAGAAAGCCTTTCTAACAGGAGCTACAGCAGTCTTGCTGTCTTAGCTTTTCTGCTATATCTTCTGCTTCAGTAAATTTTGGTGTGTTATCTTCTGTTTTACTGGAGATATCTATCCTGATGCTATCAGATGCCAGCTTCCAGGAGACTCCTCTTTATATCGTCTTATATCGTCGCACAGGCTTTCTACTGCATTTAAAAACTTAGCATCAGACCATGCTTAATTGTATGAAACAGGAAGGCCTTGCGGGTTCAGAGGTGAGGACACGTGATGGGTATTTACACTACGGATAGATTCATTGCTGTAATTCTTTCAGCCTTGCCATTATTACTGGTTTGCCATAATACAGTGCTGCTTCTGTCAACAATTATTCGTCTCTCCCCAGGAAAGTAAAGTATATATGCCTCTTGCACAACTGTCCTTAAACACAGCTGGATAGCACCTTGTGACAGCTGCAGTTATCTGTAACAAGAGCAGTGGAAAATGTCTAATAGCTGAATGTTCGGTGCTGCAGGTAGTGCCTTAAGAAATTAATAATCCTTTGGGTGTAATGTTTACCATCAGACACGCTGAGCCACTATATTTCTGACTGAGGTAACTGCTTAAGCATATACATGATTTTCAGCACCTAACTAATCCTCTGAACTCAGCTTTGTGGTGCTTAGCTGTGCTTGTGTAAAGTGTGGTCTGGACTACCATGTGAAGACTCTCCAATGGCTTGTTTGTATTTACTGAGGTTTTTATTCTCAGTTTCTCCTAAGTAAAACAAGGGAGAGTCCTCTCTAGTTAGGCAGTACTGTAACAGAAGTTTTTAAGCACCTGTGCTCTGAAGTGGGAATATGATGTGCTATCTTCAATCTGTTTTTAGCTACTAGAGATGCCGGGCATCTCTATGGAAGGTGGAAGGTCTTAGGTAGATGCTATTTTTCAGCCTTGTGTATCTTATTCTTGAGAGTGTTCAGTCTAAACAAGGAAAGCCTAACAAGTAGAAAATGTAAATAATGTCATTGGGAAGTAGAGGTATATTAAGACATATGATCAAGTTCTTAGCTACTTTGGCTGTTCAGAGTATGTTCTGTGTATCTCCACCTGTCCAGCTGTTCTGTAGCATTGCCTTACAGATGTTTATTAATGCATTTTGAATTTGGATCACATTTTTCAAAGTAGTTCAGCACTTAGGGAACAGTCCTGAAGAAAGCCTAAGCCCAGCTGTGGATGTCAAGCACGACTGTTCTTGTCTGTTGCTGGCCGTGGCTCTGCCACCTATGTCTGTTTGTTCTTTTTCTTCTCCTTTGTTTTTTTTCAAGGTCTGTCTGTGTGGCAAACAGGATATATGTGTATCTAAGCACCAAATAGGAACATGTTTACACTAAAGGAAACCTTCCCAGCTGAGTTTATTTAAACTGTAACCATTAGGAGGGTGCGTGACAGCGGGTGCAAAAGGCACAGCGAAGCCCTTCAGGAGAAGGGGACGTGCAGGATTCAGACATGTGTTAACACGTCACTGAGAATAAATTGCACTGGCATGTTATTGATTTATTTTTTTTTGTCGAAAGTTCTGATTAATTTTGCATATGGTTTAAAATTGTCTTGGTCCACCCTCACACATACCTGTGTGTATAAACGTGAAGCTATTGTCTCTGACAAATAGCCTGGACTTGCATTTGACCCATAGACTGCAATAATTCATTCACAGGCACAGTGTAAGTTATATTACAGATATCGTTCAAGGTATCATTGTAAAGCTCAAGGTTATTCATTTACTCACAGTTTCCTGAAGTGGAGTTCCCCACCCCATGCGCTGCAGCAAAGGAGGCTGGTTGTTGTTCTGCAGAAAGATAGGTCTTTCTCTTTGCAGTTGCTTTTAGAAAAGGGTGAAGGAGGAATTTCTGCTTCCTTCCTGCGTGTGGATTTTCTTGATCTTTTTAACAGAGTACACTTTCTTCTTTAACCACTGGTAGCTGATGGTTGTTCTGAGTTCTACCAGGCCTTGAGAGGCCTATTAAAATTGGATGAAGTAGTGGCAATCACAGATCAGAGTATCTTTATTTCAATTGTTACCATCTAAATAGCTTGTTTAAAAGTTAGCAGACTGTTCCATATTGAACGGCTGCTTGCATATTAAACCCAGTATTCTGAATCTTAAATGAATGTTAAATTCACTGTTAAGCTGTTACTTGAACTGATCTTAAAAACAATATTTAACATGTTAGTTTAATAGCGACAGTGATAGTGTATTTCTGTTAGTTTCTTATCTATATAAAAAGCCTGAAAATAACAAAGTAAAAACCATGCTAGCAGTGGTGGTGTTAACTTCAGAAGCTATTAGTAACAAAGGTGCTGATTGTCTGCTCAGTCCCTACCATCCTGATGTTGACTCTAAGCTTTCATGGCTAGCCATTATGGTGTGGTTTTAAGAATAAAAGGGCACTCCCAGTTTCTCAAACTTTGTTCCTAGCGCTCAATTCAATCCAAGCACTTAGCGTGTGCCAAGAAAACGACCTTTGCTAAGTGTTACAGTGAATGCAACGCTGTACAGTTCATGCAATTAGCTGTGCTGTCTGGGAGCCTGTAGGAAGAACTGAACAGTGAGGGAGGACAGGCTGATTTGATCTGTAGTTCGGAAGTGCCCATACAGGAGTGTGTAGAAGGCCCGTATATACTTACGTGTTACTGAGTCAAGTTTCATGCTGGTGGGGTTTTTTTCACACATTTTACCTAAGTTGCCCCAGCATACCTCACTATGGGCAGAGTTAACCCCTGTGGTCTTTGTGTTTTCTGCAGAACTGTCTATTAAGCTTCAAATGGTTACCTCTGCAAATTGTCAGTGCAGACCTCAGATCCCACGGAAGAGTTCCTGCTCTCCTTCATTGAGAGAGGAAGTTGAGGTGCAAGGCTGAGGTATCAGAACTGGCACCAAAGCTAGCCAGTTAAGTGTTAGCTACACAGTGTCACTAGAGAAATAGGTGTGCAGTCCCCATCAAACCCTTTCTTTACAAGAATAATGGTGCTATTTAGGCTATTTGATCATTTCTGATCAAATAGTCATACATTCATCTCATACTTGGATTGCTACTAGCAGACTTCCTGAACTCCACTAGTCTTGGGAACATTGTTTACTCTTTTCATGAATGATTTTGGTTCAGCTGTTTGAAACTGTCGATGAGATGACCTTGGATGTGCCCATCTTTTCTCTTTGTAATGTCTTGTAACAGGAAGACGTGACTAGTGTAGAATAACAGAACGTAAAATCCAGCAGCATGTGTTTCCAGTCTGTGTACTTGGGGGCTGATGATAGAAGCTACTATGAATTACTTGCTTGCAGGAAGGACCTTAACTAACTAGATGAATCTTCTTACGATGATGTGGCTATGAAAATTTTCAGCACAGAGTGCTGTTTCACAAGGTCTTGGTGAAACATTGTCCCAGTGTTTCAGTTTGAAACTGTTTGGCTATGTTCAAGGGGGACTGCTGGCATGAGCAGGAAGTGAAGGTCTGAGTTGATAAGATACTCAGAGGATTAATTTGGTTGCTCTGTACTACCTGGGCATTGGGACAGACTGACTGCTTTTCCTAACACATTATGAAATCAACTCTGGGGAAGAAAAAGCCATTAGAGCTGAAGGATAATATTGGCAGAAGAACAAATGGGTTTAAGCTAAGAGGGAATGTTCCTAACAGTTTAGAGGAATCGGGCTCCACAGCAGCTTTCCAACCAGATGGTTGTGGGTGCAAGTCTCAGTTAATTTCAGGATAGAAGTTGGTGAATTGATAAAAAAGATTGCCTGGTATTCATTCTGTGATCGCTGGAAACAGAATTAGTGATCCAGAAGGCCCCTGAACCAGTGAGAAATCAGTATTTGAGGTAGTAGAACTGCTGCATCTTCTAGAAGATATCTGAAAATTAAATACTCGTTTAGGCAGTCTAATCATCCTGCAGCAGCAAAAAGCTGACAGATATATGTCAGATCACTATATTTGTGCAGCACTACGTGACAAATCCCAGGTCTCTGATCCTGACTGTATATCTGCAGGCTATGTCTTACTCTTTTTTTCCTACCTTATTAGCATTAAGCAGAATACTGTAGATTTGTATGTTCTTTAAATTCAGTGACAGCCAGAGAAATATGTTCATATATTCCAAGAGGACACTGAGGAGGTTATATAGCATCAACCAATAAAAATTAAATCTCCCATCTCAGTACATAAGAGAAGGTTGTGCAGTGCTGCAGCTTTTCTTTCTCTTACACAGGAAGTGTAAATTTGTTGTATCCAGAAAACAGCGATCAAAATGCCAAAACTGTTTTTTGTCCTTTTTTTTCCTAGTTGGGGAATGGCGGTCAACGTGTACTCTACCTCTATAACCCAAGAGACTATGAGCAGACATGACATCATCGCATGGGTTAATGATATATTAGCTTTAAACTACACAAAAGTTGAGCAACTCTGTTCAGGTAAGAAAGTGTGGTATGCTCTACAAATGTTTATTTTAAAACCACTCTAAAATTCCGATTTGTTGAAAATAGATAACTTTAAGCTTTGACATAAACCAGTTACTCTGAGAAAAGAGGCTAATATACGTGCAAAGGAAGTGTTTTTGTGTTCATGTTAATCATGGAAGGATAAGGTGCCTTGAGAAAGCATAACAATGCAGAGGTGAATGGGACGGATGTAGCAGAAGATACGCAGAAGCAATAAAAAGGTTGACTAAGCAAGAAAATAATACATTGATAAGCTATTGTGTTTTCAAGCTATTGGGTGGGCATAGCTGAAAAAGAGACAAACAGAGAACCGACACCCCAGCTGAACCAAATTCTCCGGCACCTTTTCCTTCCTGGTGAGGGTACTCAAATCCCTGCTGATGTTTGCAGAAAAAGAGCACAAGTGTGACTATGAAGAACATGAATTTGAGGAAAAGAGCCTCTAGCTGCTGCAAGGGCTTTAAGAGTTTGTCAAGAAAATCTTCCTGTTTCTCTGTAAGTGTAACTGAACTCTTGTTGTAAGTAACTTTGGTAATGAGCCTTGAAAAAAAAGAGTAATGGTTTGAATACTTTGGACATTTTGGTTAATCAGAGTGGCAGCTACAAGATACGTGTTAAACAACTGGTCTGTAACTAGATGATGAGTAGAAATGACACAGACAAAAGCTGATGTCTCACTGAAAATACAGATGCCCCTGGGGAGTGATTCTTTCTGATTTCCTACTGTGATTTTTAAATTTGAAGATGTTTGTGCTGGAGGAGATCTAACTTAGATTGCTATTTCCAGACAACTGACGTGCTGGGAATATCTTACTTCAGAAGACAATGCTCTGAGTGCATAGAACTGAAGCCACATTACCAGATTTCAGCCATTTACTGATCCAGCTGAAATGCATTAGTGGGGTCTTACATTCATATATTTGAATTTACCTGCCATTATAGGTAATTTTTCTGAGATGTTCCCCTGAAAGGTACAGAAAAATCTTTGGAGTATGATAGCTTCATAGCTTACACCTCAAAACTTAAAAAACAATTGTTAGCTGCAGAAGCAGGTTTGCATGCTTGCAAGTTTGCATGCTTGCAGGCTTGCACAATGACTATAAAATTGAAGTTGAGAAAGGGTAGGTTAAAGTGCATGTCAGTAACTGATATAAAATAAGTAATTAAAGGCATAGAACACAAGAAATAACCTTTTTAAGAGTTACTGAACTTGAAATGTTATAGTTAGCTGCTGTTACATTTACGTGCCCGGAAGTTAGCCTAAGTATTTTACTGAGTTATACATTAAGAAAGCATTCATGTGGGGATGTGTGTGCACATATGTAAATATAGATGTAGCTATATATAGAGACATATGGGTATACACGTGCACACAGGCTTATCAGGCTATAGAAAGATGCAAGAAAATGGACATTTTCATCCCAAAATACCCAACTTTTACCATTGTTTGAAACAGGAAGTATACTAGACCAGTTATTGACTTGTTCCTGTATAGCTATTTATATGCTCATAAATAGTTGAAAGGAAGCTTTTGAAGTGAATTCTCCACTCAGTTAAATGTGTGTGGGCTTGCAAAAAAAAAAAAAAAAACCATGAAAAGAAAAGACCAAAAAACATCCAAATCTTTCCCAAAACAGGGAGGGGAGAAGTGATCTAAGAAGATTTAGATTATGCAGAGTACAATGAGTTAAAGATATTTAAGAAAATAGATTGAGAGACTTCTGCCGGATGGGGCAGGCAGAAGAAAAGTATGGAAATTGTCACTAAGCCACTGTCCCATTTCATTACATAGTTTGTTATACAACTTTTTCTGTGACATCCAGTGAGGATTTTGGGACGCACCACAAGGGAAAAACTGAAAAAGGGTCGTCTCATTTCAGCTCTTCCTCCATTAAATCTTTTCTTCCTTTAGAGCTTCCTGGACTGTATTGACTGCTATTGTTACCTGATGCTTTTACAGGTCAAAGCTGTAAACTTGCATTTTGCCATTTGGTTTGATGAGCTTGATTCTTACATGTTATTAGGTTTGTGTTATTGTTCATTACAATCTTGGATGGGGGTTAATAGTTCCTTACCTGAAGGAGCATTTTAGTACCCTATAGTCCAAGGGAATTTGTTCTCTGAGCAGGTGAATCTAAGAACTGCTAGATTATTGCAGACACTAGACCACGGTAGTCTTATGGACTAGGTCCTTTTTATTTGAGACTGATTAGTCAGTTTCTCACATGTAAGACATGCACATGTAGGGATTGAAGATAGATGAACAAGAAGCTTTGGGAATCTTTCTGTATTTCATATATATATATATAGTTTACCATGTAAACTCAAAGTACTTTCTTTAATGTACATACAATACAGTTTACAGGACGGAAACTATGGGGACAGTAGCACAAATGACCAACTGACAGGAAGAGCACCGGCAAGCATGATATGGACTGTAGTTTGAGAATGACCAACGTAATTCATTCTGGCATTCCTTTGGCTGATGTTCATTGAAGCATTGGCAGCTTTCATGCAACTTAATGTTAGTTTCCATAAAATATGAGCATTTCCCCAGGAATTCAAAGAGAATGAATATGTGGGAAATGCTTTACAACCATGAAGCACTTCACAGCATTAGCAGGGAGCTACAGAGCCACTGTAACTGAATTTTTATAACCTACTGTAAAATCATATAGACCTTTTCTTCTTTTTTTAGAAAAGGGCATGAAGATTTGTCATGCTGTTACATTACTATTCAGTTCTTGTTCATTTATATTAATAAGGAGCAATCAGAAGGCCAGAAAAAGCTTAGTGCAAGACCAGAAAAAGCAAGGGAGGGAAAAGGGAGAGGTTAAGTCTGAATGAAAAGCTGGAAGGCATTATTTTTAGGAGGCGTGAGCTACCTAGATGTGGCATACACTTGTGTTCAGCACCTGCATATGAGACCTCATGGGTGCCCGTGTTTTGCAGCCAACCTAGCAATAATTCTGAACATTCCGAGCTTAAGCAAGAAGGAATAATGTGAGATTCTGCCTTTTAATAAAGGCTTTATTCAGCACGTACCTAAAGCTCACCATGACAATTCATAATGACAGAAAAAACAATCAGACCTTTCTCTCATTGTGGAGAAGAAGCTTTGATAATGCATATGCTGTAGCAATACCAGCCTATTCCCCAGTTGCCAGTTACAGGAACAGAGCTGCTAGGATGAGGAGCAGCAAAAGAAGAGGCTGGCTTAGTCATAAAGTATTTGCATTCTTTGGGAGTCTTAGATGTGTTTTTGTCTCTGCTAAGTAGGCCGAGCAAAGTGCAGTGTCCCCTGAGCTTTCTGAATGCCTGCTGTAGTAGTGATGTGCCAAAAACCCCAGGTTATGGATGGATGCAGCCCTGGAAAGTCTAAATTTAGTCTTTAGCTCCTCTGGTAATTTAGTTTTGACAACTCGAGAGAAAATCTCTCTGAGCACCTCGAAGCAATGAAGTTCCCTTTGTTTTAGGTGAGTGTCATTTTGTCAGGTTTTGGTCTCTGGGTTTGACTACTTGCAAGGTTGTTAACCTGAATAGGAAATTTATAATCCATGGGTTTAATTGAAGGCATAGTGCATTGTCTTTTGATGGGCATTAGACTTGAGACCATTTAGTTTGATACATGAATGAAAAATAATAGGGAACAACTGAGTGGATTTAATGTAGTAGAATCCCATGTGCAACACCCATATGCCTGGGGAATAGAAGTTTCAAAGGAATTATGACACTGGTTGTTCTTTAGGAGTCATGCCATTTTTGCAACAAATATGCAGTGGCTTAAAAAGAATTCTGACTAAACAGCTTATAACTTAATTTTCTTTGCTAAGGCTGTTTTTCATCTATAGGGAATACCAAATGAACGTGTTACAGGGTTTTGTATGAGTGTCTGGCTGCTACATGAGAGTATATTCAAAATAAGAGTCGGGCAGGAGTCTATAGAGGGCTTGCATACGAATTAAAAAGAAATAGCATGATGTATGCAAGCTGAATAAATTATAAGCAAGGAAGCTAGAGTTGATAAATGTATATAGAGAGGAAAACAGAGCCTGAATTGAGGTGTAATTCCTTGCATAGCTATACTTTGAGGCTAAGGTGATACAGAATCTTTCCTCCCCTCCCCCTGCGTTTGAAAATTCTCAATAGAATTACAAACCTGCAAACTGTCTGGCCTCCAGTGCATACAGACCTTCTGTCTTGCAAGGATTAAGTGTAGGGTAGGTTTTTTCCTCTTTCCCCTTGCTTTCTATAAAAAAACGTATTATGAAGAGTGCATATGATTTGGCATTTTCAAACGTTAGACTGTGATACTTCCTGTGTAGATGCCCTGGGTGTTGCCACAGGGGATTTTTCATGTGGTGACTGCTGCAGCTAGTACCATATCTCAGTTGGCATTCCTTCTGTGAAAACGCATAGTCCCTTTATAGATACATTTTGTTGGTACTCTTACCACTCTGATCTTGGAGGAAGGCAGGCAGCGTGATGACAGGGCAGATGCTCTTTGCGTGACTTTGTGTTGCCTCTCCTGCTCGGGACTAGGGGGATAGCTCCCTTACAGCCTCCTGTGACCATCAGGGAGGAGGGTCATTCCTGGTTTGTGGAGGGTGTCCGAGGTGTTATGCTTCCAAGGATGATGCGCTGGGGCTGGGTGCCATGGATGTGGTCAGTGACCCCTAGACCTGGCAGCATTTGTTTGCAAGGTGACCACCTGCACCACCCAGCCTCCAGGCCCTCAGTGGCAGCAGCAAGTAGTGTGCAAGACATGGTGCATCCTGAGCAGCTCCTCTCTCCAGCACCCAGCAAAGATCTGTCTGAGCAGGGCTGAGGTGATTGGAGAAGAAGGGTACTGGCCAATCACAGAGATGGTGAGAAGGGCTACTTCGGCTTGTCATTTGTGTATAAGTACATGCAAATGGAGTGTATTTTGTGACTTAGCTGCTTAGAATTTGGTTTTTCATGTCTTAAAAGGT